CATTCTTAACTGTTTAAATCAAGATTGCCTTGTTGTAAAGCCTTGGAAATTGCTATACTCCACAGAAATTCAGTGGAAGGGTTGAGCCTGTTTTTGGTTACTATATACATAAAGTTTGCTAGGTATATCTTCTAGTTCTGCTGATGATGCTGTATAATTCCCATGGGAGTTCCTAATGGGCTGTCAATCAATCAGGACATGGTACATATTGGCCCTTTGGAAAATTTGAAAACCGGTTTCGACAAACTGTAAAGACATTGCGGGACTATTTTAAAACGGTTCGGTTTAATTAGAAGTCAGAAGATCTCGTTTTGTTTGTTTTCTTTGCTCTTCGGGAGAGGCGTATGGAAATAATCAGAGCGAATTTGTTGTTTTGGTTTGTCAGTTTTTTGTCCCGAGTGATTCTTTGGTTAATTGTGTAAGACATAATCTCAGATGTCTAGCCACACTAGTGCGCTGAATATAACTCAAATGTTACCTAAAAATCCTGTCTTTTGTAGAGGACTCGATGGAGACGGCATAGCATTTAAGAGTGTAACTTTGAACGCAATAAAATGGAATTAAGTAATTTAAGAAAAAATGTGGCATTTAATCATTTTCAATGAAAATTCATCAAAGGGTGTTCTGGGTAACATAAGAGTGGGGGTAACTAAAAGAAATTATTATTAAAGTTCGAAATTTAGCTTCTGTCAGTGATTTGTCGACATTTTCAGAACTGCTCTCGGGGTATATATGTATAAGACAACACTTTTTTCTACAAAAATACCGAAATTTTAATCACAATTAGAACACCAGTCCTCTTTCCTTTGGGAAGGAACAGTTGTTAACATAACTGGCAAAATAATTTAAAACTGTAAGTGGCAGATGGGCGTTATGTTGTCATGTTTAATTTTGTATGACGCAGCGCAGCACACAGTTAAAAAGAATCAAAAAGCACACCCAAACGACGCGTTACTTTTTTGCCATTTCTCTTCAATTCTTCGGTTTATTTGGCAAATAAAGAAGGGTAAGCCGTGTATTACATTGTGATAAAACACTCTGGACATTTGAGAACGCTCGAGTTCTCAAATGCCCGTCGTGTTTTATCACGGCGTAACACACGGCTTACGCATCTTCATTTGCTTTGTGATATAGAGGTAACAGCACTGAATAATCCTTGCACTTCGGGGACAGGCGGTTCTTTTAATTGTGAAAAGGCTTTATTGATCTGGCATGGCATGGGTAGATGTTTTTTGTGTGTGTCATCGTTTACACGTATCTAAAACTTTGCTGAGACGTCCCTGGATAACGTCTCTGACAATTCTCTCAGTTGTAAGTTACCCTTTTGTTGAAATAAAAAATATACTTATTTTTTGTGAAAAAGATTATTAAATTTAGAGGATTTGTGGAGAGAAATCTGCTGCTGCGGCTGCTGCTCAACAAACATTACATTAACTTTCTAATATTAATGTTTGTTTTCTAACGTCTTTCGTTTCATCTGGGTTCTTTTTAGACAAACACGCGTTCTTAACAAATAACTATCTATTTTGATATTACGAGATTAAATGCAGCCAGGTTCCTTGGCGACTTATTTTGATACGCTACATGTGTCGCTGCTATAGCTCTGATCCTATTCAGAAAGTAGTTTTTTTAATCCTCCACGACTGGGGTTTGCGTACAATTATGATGAAAAATTAGAGGGTAAACAGTACGTCAAAACGTGTTCACTTTGAGATGAACAACATGTGATGATGACGTCATACAACGTGTTAATAACGTCACTATATCTAAACAGATAGCAGATCACAAACCAGGGTCAAAACAATCATGCCAAAAAGTCCAAAAAATGTAAAAATAACTGTATGAAACTCAAAGGTTGTTAATCAAAACAAGAAAATTCCAAGTTTGAAAATGAAACATACCTGTCGAAGTACGGTTGTCATAGAAACATAATGTTCCAAGCACTATGGCATATTATTAAAATTTCAGAAAAAGTCGAAATGTTTAGTAACCCCCTAAGTTATATTTTGTCTGGAACTAACTGTCCATTAGCTGTGTCAAACTTCAGATCTCTTTATTTCCCACTGAAGACAATGATTTAAAGTTTTGCCTTGCTTTTTGTCGTACAAGGCGTTAAGCTCAAACAGTACGCTTAAATCAAATGTTGCAGATTTCAAATGTTTGTCTGTTTGTTTCCAAGTAGCCAGTTTACTAAAACGGCCAGATAACTTCATTGAAGGAAGGGCTAGTGAGACACCTCTTGGGCAATTGGTTCAGAAACGAAATTTGCTTACAATTAAGGAATTAGTCTGAAAAAGTGGATCAAACATCGAGCAACATTTGAGAAACAACGAAAGATCTAGTAAGATAATATATCTGCAATAATCACCTAATTTTCTTACACCGGATATGAAATAAAACAAATGTATGTTTGTTGACACGGTTCAGTTCTCATTTCGAACCTAATCTTCAAGATATTGCGAGACTCATTTAATTTCAAGACAATCTTCTCTTTTGCCATTTCATATTGCGCCTACGTACGGACGAAATGTTGCTAAGAAAGCGCTAAGTCTTGGGAAACCGCAGGTAACCATAGTAAAAAAAAGCCTAAATAATGGAAATATTTAGTAGTAGGTCGCGAATTATGGCATTACGGTCATTCCTCGTTGCTCTTTTGCTTTTTCAATTTTTGTTGCAAACGAAAGAGCCGTCAGGTACACGAGATTAGTTTTCTTAAGCGGACGGCATGTTCATTCTCATTTGTGAGTCTAGAGTCTAGTAAGTATCGAACCATATTTTTCCTCCTCGACGTACAATATGATAAACTGTATTTTTTTTCCTCTAAACTTGAAAGATTAACATATCAAACATGTTTGACCGACAGCACTGTGTGTAAAACTACCAGAAATTGTGCGGTTAGTCTAGTGCATCACTACCGAAAACAGATTGAGATAACTGCAAAACAAAAAGCTAAAAGAAAAAAAGAAAATCATAATAAAAACGAAAATAGGAAGACGCGACGTGGAAGAAGGTTAATTGAATGATGTCGGCGTGGAATACAGTTTTTATGTTGGCTCAAGACTATAAACCCTATTAAGACTATAAACCCTATTAAGACGTACTGCCTCTTAACTGATTACTTTGACATGGAAACTTCTTTGGATACTATAACACTATCAACAACTGTGTTCCCGAATGCCTGCAGTAACTCCTCGCTGTAAGACATATTCCCCATTCATAATAATTGCAAACACGACAACAGAATCAGTTTACATACAATGATTTCATTTTACACGCTTAGCAGTTCCTTGAGAGACGCAATGGCCATTTGGTTACCGAATTGGACTCTGAATTGATCGATCTTGGCTGCGTTTCCTTGTGATGTTTTTTTTTAGTAAAATATTAAACTTGCATAGTGTCTACATCTCTACAAAGTAGTGTAGATGCAAACTGGCTAATTGTCAAGGGCATGCAATGTTAAAAGAATTGGAGGTAGCCACTTACTCCTAGTATATTCTCTCTTGTCATACCACGGAACCTGCAGTTGAGCAGCAGCCTGGTTAGCCATCCAAACTTGAAGACAGGCTTAAAGTTAGTCGAAAGCTGAGAGTGGAAAACGATATCTGGACCGATTAGTAGCTGCCAACTGTAAAAGCGTGTCGCTCGTCAAAGAACAAAAAGCAGTGTAGCACATGTGAAATACGAGGAATTACAGGAAACAAGAAATCCGTCATGTCTATTCAGTTTGAACATGAACGTCTCAGGACCAAGTGCCTCGTTAGCAAACGTCAGTGACTTAAATTTTAAAGTGTCCGCCCATTGTTACTTTGTTTAAATAAAAACAAGTTATTCAATGAAGACAAAACTGTTGTGATTTTGGCGTTTGATTTCCCCATTTCAACTTTCCAAATTTTAACTCTCATTGGACTCTTTTGTTGCAATTTCACGTTCAGAATGCGTGGGGTTACCTAAAGTGTGTTTGTAGAGAGCGCTGCATCATAAAAACCTCCCATGGTAATCAGAATCAGGTTTTTATTATCTATAAAATTATTTTATGATAATACATTGTTCGTGGCTAGTCTCATGCAACGCTTTCGTCTCAGGGACTCTTTAGTGACTTTTCTGACAGGAAAACTCGTTGAGCATTGCGTTTTTTAGCGAAAGAGATTTTGAGCGCAATGCTCAACGAATTTGTCGAGTCTCTTGGCCGCGGCGAAACCAAAGCGCTTCGTCAGACTAGCCACAAACAGTGTATTATCACAAGTGAATGCCAACTTTTAAAATAATTTTGTTGTCATAATGTTGACATGCTATCTAGTATGTATACAATCAGTGGACCGTAAAAGACCAATACACAATATAGCGATAACGTACGGATTATGACTTGTTCCTTATCCCAATCCTTATTTAGGTGCAGGAAGGCGTTTACCTTGTCAATTATCTTTCTCGTTATCAAAGTCTCCCAAATATCAGAGACACTCTTCAGCCATGACAACTGGTCTTGCCATAACAGCGGTTATCACCGTACTAGCCATTATCGACATTCTGGGGAACACCCTCGTTTGTGCGATAATAAAGAGAAATCGAGATATGAGGTATGTTGTGACTGAAAAAGTTAACATCAGTAGAGTTCCTAGCTAGAAACTACTGAAGTTCTACTAAAAGAGTTTTATCTGTATTTCTACGCGTGGAAGAAACTAGACTATCGCCGAAGCAGGATACATTTTTCTTGCGTCTTCATCGGTTAACTGACCATTAAGATGATTTTTGCTTTTTACATCAACAAAATTTCTGTCATCGATGGTAGTTCTATACATGGTTTTAAATGGCAACTTAAAGAAACAGTTTTCACTTGTTGCACGACTAGCATGCATTATCATATGCCTTTCTATTTCTGCCATTTCCATTTCCAGAATTTAAAAAAATGGTTTCCAATTCCACAGGACTCCCATCAATTATCTTCTTGTCCACCTGGCTGTAGCGGATATCGTGTACGCAACGTTTATTGCGCCCAAAGGTTACTTCAAGCTCACCTCTGTTCATCATCCAGACGGCATGACTGGTTTGGTGTTATGCAAATTGCTGACAGGTGGAAATGTCGCCTGGGTTGGGGCGGTTGCCTCGGCTATCTTTCTGGTTGTAATCGCCTTTGAACGATATTATGCAGTGATGTATCCGCATGGTCACAAATGGAAACTGTCCACTGCTAAACTGAAGGTGAGTTCATGTTTGAAGAGACATAAATAGTTTCAGCGCTCTGAGTTTGGAGGTATAAATTGGACGATATACATTTAATCAGCGATGAATGCTGATGCCGATTTTGCTTATTGTTTCCAGTAGACCTTTTACAACATTTGGTCACGTGACGTGCTTTTCAATAACACACTGATTTAGGGTGCGTTCCTTGGGGGTGATCTGGATCAGAATCAGTGATCTAAGATCAGTTGAGTCATGGTGCATCGAAGGAACCGAAGACTCCGTGACCAGAGTAGATTCACCGACTCCTTTGCTGTACAATGATCTGAGTGATCTTGGATCACTGATCCTGATCCAGATTACCCCAAAAAGAATGCACCCTTAATCATTGGTGAGGCCTTATGTTATCAGAAATGGACAAAACACTTACAAATAAGCTTACACGCAAACACTGGGGTTCATATCCTTCAACAGGGAATTTTCAGGGACATTAGAAATTGGAAGGATTTGTAATGGAAGGAGACGCTTTGGCCTCCAGTCACGTGCTTTCCATACAAATCCTTGTAGTTTTGCCTTTCGGTTTAAGAGCCTAGATTTTTCCATTTTTCCTCATATTCTATCCCTCGTTCTATTTCAAATTACCAGCAGCTTCTTTTTCCAGTGGTTAATAACGGAAATGGTTTCTAGAGGGCAAATCTCCCTCACTTCCATACAAAACCTTCTTATTTTTGCAATATTTAAGTCGCCATTAAATCTCAACCTTACATGGCATTTCTCTATTCATATAGCTGTAGCTAAATGTTTCGAAACTATCGGTTATGTGACCAACTGTTGCAAAAGGCCTGTTTACACCAGGCACAAATTTTCAATGTAATGCAAGGGAGATTTAAACCGACTTTTAAAGACTGCTCTTAGTTACTATCGAGAATTTCAAGACGGGGCCAAATTTCAAATGTCATTTTCTTTCGTAAAAAGTCAAAGACCCCCTTAAATATGAGCTTTTATAAGTCCTTAATTTCAGACAAAGTTAAATCTAGATCGTGGTAAATTAAATCCAAATTCATGAGGACGTTCCAAATTTCTTGCTCAGGAAAACTATGTGGACAAAGTAATACAGCCACACAAAATTGCTGTTTTCATAGCTGATTATCATGTCTAAAATGCTTTCTGTTCCGACCACAAGACGAGAAAAAAGCAACATCTATGACAGTCAGTAGCCGTGTTTTCAAGTTCCCATGAATCAATATCACATAGAAGTTTTACAATTTATGATTTCAGATGAGCTTTTCAGATGATCATTCCCTTTTTAAAATTAATTATCCGCTGACACATGTTGTCCTGGATTAATATTAAAGTTTTAAAATTTTCAATTCCAGATGATTATTCCTGGTAGCTGGATCTTCGCCGGAATCGTCAATATCCCACTCTTCCTTGCGAAGAACACGAAGGTGAAAAATGGAAGAGTCTTATGCATACCTACCTGGCCAGAGATTTGGATGGAGGCTTTCATCATGATTTTGTCCGTCGTGGTAGGTGTTGCCTTGGTTCTGATGATTGCGTTGTACTCCAGAGTCGTGTACACCTTGTGGTTCCAGCGTAAGGACGAACATCAGCTCAACATCCAACAAAAGGTACAAATAGTATTCTTTAATACTACTCCTCGGCGACAATAAGCGAACATACTATTAAAAAAATAGAATAACTCCGGGACTTATTACAAAATGTACGCTCTTTCTCCACAAACACAAGCGGTACACAAATGCCATATGGATGACTTATACTTGCATCATTTATACTGGTTGGGTGTACATGTTGGGTTCTATTGTACACTGGATATATTAGCTTGATGGTATGAACCTTGTAACTGACAAATGACGTTAGAAAAGCTTTTTTAAGCCAGCTACTACTACATGAATCTTAATCGGTTTTATCTTCTATACACAGGGCGTCATGAAGGTCCGAAGACGTGTCACCTTGATGGTCGTGGTTGTCACCGCCATATTTGGTTTCTGCTGGGGAGTCAACCAAATCGTCCACATCTTCAAGTTCTTTTCTTCCTACACCGTTGGTGCCTTACCAACCGTTGTCGCTAACACAATGGTCTTGGTAAATTCTGCCATCAACCCGTTTGTATTCGCGCTGTTAAACCACCAGTTCAGGGAGAAGATGAAGGTAATGTTATGCTGCAGGGATTGCACCAAAGCCAAAGTCCATCCGTCTGATTATCACGACTACGAGCTTGGAGATAACACCACCCAGCCGACCAACACAGGCGGTACAAGTTCCATGGCCTGATGGCAGTGTTCATGGAAACCATGTACCTGTAGTCATTTAGTGTATTTAAAAAGAATATTATCAATCGTTAGTTCTTAGAAAAACCCTAGAGGAGTACTTAAAAGACAATGCGTGTTAGAATATGGTGTCGTATTCAGGCATAGTATAGTGGAGAGTAAGGCACAGTTCGTTCGATGGCGTTTTGTACAATGAACACGGTATTTTTGGAATTATTGATTGCTTCATTCATACACCTTATTCCAAAATGGCCGCCATTTAAGTATTCTTTTCTTTTCTTGCAAATTAGCCCTTGTTGCCTCGTTCTTAAACTCGAAATTCAAAAGAATATTTTCCCTTAAACGAGGCAAGAAGGGCTAATTTGCAAGTAAACAAAAAACACTAAAATAGCGGTCATTTTGGAATAAGGTTTATTTGTTCCTTCACTGACAGTTGTGTGCTTTATGCTTACAAAATTAGTATAACTGTAAATATCCTGTGTTCGTCACGTCTTGGTACAAAAAACGTTTCATAGATTAAAACATTACGCCTTCAGACGAAATTAGGGTTATAAATTTATAACACAGATCCCTGCTGCCGCTATGTACAACCATGCTACTTGTTGGAAATATGTACTTGAAAACTATAACGTAAGAAAACTGAACAAATGAAAAAGTTCATTTTTGGGACGAGTACTGAGTGAGAAAATTAACGAGATCATCACCAGTAGTCAGTCCACATTATAGAAACGGGTAATTGAATCTGATGATGTTCAGACCCTGTAGACATATTGTATTTGAGTATCTGTTGATCCAATTATGATAGGATGTTAATATCTTAGAACTTGACAAGGGCTTAGGTTCCTCAAGTGGTTAATTTTCTGAGATATCCTGTAAGCTATATACGTGTATCATTAACCTGATGAAGGTAAATTATTGCATTCTAACAACAAAAGTGTGATTTGAAATCTTGGTAAATATAATAACCTTGTTCAAACGAATAAAGATAATAAATCAAAGAATGAATACCACTCAATCGTTGTGATTTTCTTTTTACTCTGTATTCAATTAATCGAAGGTAATTTGTGATTGGCCTCGATATTATATCAAATCAATTGTTGATCTTTGTCGTTGCTGTTGTTTGTTGTTACTTTCAATAATCGCTTTGGAGAGAGAGCTGAAAACAGATATTGTAAACAAATCAAACCTGAAATCCTGAAAACACTGTGTAAGTCCATTCAATAAGACCGCTGGCGACAAAATAATGGGCCACTTCCGAGTTGCCTCTGTGTCAAAACGAGTCTTGCGAAACCATTCATATGAAAATGTGTTCCGCCCACTCGTTCATTTTCATGCAAATCAAACTCATTTTCCTGAAGGCTTTGAACGAAGACTCGTTTTGAAACAGAGGCACAGAGTAAATCGGAAATGGCCTATTGGCAGTTCCAGCAAGTTTGGCCCTATTGACATGAAAATCAACTAAATTAATTGAGAATTTAAAATCGAAGAAATATTTTCAGTTTCTCGATCCCCTCTTGGAAAGCAATCTCTCTCAACCGCTCTTCTCCAGTTGTTAATAGAGCAGACTCAGTTGACATTGATACTCTTGATTCTTGCCACTGTGAATTTCTTTTAAACCCTTCCTCGACTAGTTCCGGTCCCCTTCCTCTAGCTACTTCTTCAACTCAAATATATTTTTAGTTTTCATTGTCTCAAAGATAATTAAAAATTACCTGTAGGTGAAACTCGTCAAATCAATAATTTAGCAGAAATAGCTCTTTAGTGACCATACCATTGGCAATGCTTAACGTGTGTTTTAATTTTTAACTTTCTCTATCCATTGTTTATTTGGGTGACAGATCTAAACGCTGACCATAAACACAACTGTGAATTGGCTTGGGTTACAGAACGCATCTGGAAGACGGCGTCAAAACAAGGAAACTTCTTCTCTTGAATTGAATATTAAAAGATCGAAATACGATACGTTAAGCCCCAGAAGCATAGTTTTATAAAATGTCGCAATTAATATTGTAACATTCCTTTCCAACAAAAGAGTAAACAAAGAAAACCGGACTGGATCAATTTTAGCCATTTCAAAATGGAAAATTCTACCAAAATTTTGTCCTTTGGTTTTTCCTCTAACCACCTTTGCCGTACTCAGGTAGACGGACTCGAGTAAAAAGCGGAATTCGAAATCGAGCCAACTAACCACCTTAATCACCGGCGAGAAACAAGACAACACAACCTGAGCGAAGTAGGTGTGTTTTTATTCAGTTCGTACTCGTTCAATTTTTTTAGACTTAAGAATAGAACCGTCTTTTCCGTATAAAATCTGTTGTTTTAGACTCACGGTTGCAGAAACCTTAATTAGTCCACTGTATGGATATGGACGCCTATGGGTTTCAGAAATATTTTATTTCTTCGTTGAGCTTGAGTATGTTTAATCATGATTCCTTTTCAATTCGGACAAGCTAGCTCGATAGGCGATATTTGAATGCTAACTAAAGGCGGGGACGGGAAGGTATTCAACAGTCCACTTGTCCGCGACCACAGAGAGCAACCATTTAAATTCATGTTAGCCTGTTATCTAGAAATATGAAACAAGATTAAGCTTTAATTTCCTTTCCAGAGTTCGGCGGAAAAATACGCAGGAAATTTTTGTACAGGCTCAAAAAATGCATTTTTGAGTAATACACTACACCTTAATGTGTTTCTTTGTTTGTTTTTGAATTGCACAAGACGGGTTCTTTTATAATTACACCATTTAACTTGCAGGCACCATTCAGTTCAGAGTTTAACGGAAGTAGCCGCCATTAACAATCCTACTAATTAAAAATGAGAATTGCACATATCAGTTGTCACCTGAAATATCGTTCAAATATACGTTTGAATCAGTTGATATATTGACCTGCTAGATATGTCCAACCCGCTACATTAGCAGGCTGAATTGCGCTCACGTGGAGACAAAGCAAAACAAATATATAATACTGACACCAATTCCATATATAGTTAAACAACGTTATGATTATTCTGCACTAATTATACGAATGCAGTTTGAAGCGGAAATTTAGTCAGCTCATATGAAATAGCATGCTTCTAAAATTTAGTTCTGATATTGACGAGCTTTGTTCAACTCACGTCGTCGTTTTCGATATAACTTTGGAAAATCATCTCAAATCAGCTCAGCCAGAAGGGACATTTACCAAGAAAACGGTAATTCACTGGTTATTCCAGGTGGGTAGGGCATTTTGATCACCTCACTAACGCAAAACTTATCTCACAATCAATTTTACCAAAAAGCTTTCCTAATTCGATAACTACAAGTGAAGTTGCACTTACCGACTTCAAGTGGAGCTGTTAAGGTACTATGAAAAAACATAAACCTGACTGGCAGACCGATAGCAGTTTATTTTAGAATAACATATTCGTAAAGTTGATCGTGAACAGTTTTTTAGAGACTTTTTGAAACCTCAGGCATAACAGAAGTTGTAAATAATTAATTACTCGAATATGAAGTTATAAAAACGAGCACCTTGCTGATAGCTCAGTTTATATTTATTTCGAAAAAATGTATACATAATTGATTATCCAAAAATGCCGGTAAGGTATCAATATCAAGTGTCACTTTTAACGAATTGCATGGAAGCTACATCAAATTACTAACGATTACTAAGTGTTGCTTTCACTTTACTCCTTATCCTTAACCACTATCCTTAATTACCTATAGGCGTTAAAGGGGCTCAGTCACGGTATTTTGAGTTATTTTGGCC